ACTACCGGATGCTCAGCTGGTGGTGTCTTAAGAGATGGGGGATTGGCCACATAGGGGACCCACCTGCCTCCAAAGAGTCAGAACACTCTAAAGGGCAATGACACTGCTTGGTGTGTCCGTCACCACGCTCCCCTTCCCGACAACCTTCAGGAACCCTTGGCAGTGAATAGCTCAGAAAATTGGGCAGGCGGGAGCACGGCTCCAGGAGCCAGCAGACTCAGGCTGGAGAGGCTGGGACGCAGAATGAGATCCCGAGTCCCAGGGCAGCTCTCGCATACGCATCTGGGCTGAGCAGGTGGACTGTGTGGCCCAGCGTGTTTGTTTTAGAATGTACACATGAGAGAAGCAAACAGGGGCCACCAGTCACTGCTGTCACGGCCAGGGCTGGCCCACCCACCCGTGAGAGGATTCACCCTAGGTCAAAGGTGAGGTGTGTGCGGGTGCTGGGTGGATTGCTGCACAGAGACCCTGAAGCAGTAAGCATTATAGAGCCAGGAAGTGAATGGGGGCTGCTGGGGGCTGGGGGTGAGAAATCGGTGTTTCATGGGGTACCTGCGAGGGATGGAGGTGGTGGCCGCATGGCAGTGGAACTGGACTTTAAAAAATGACTAAGGCAGCTAATGTAGAGTTTAAATTATAAATTAAAAAGAGAGACAAAAAAAACCCAACTTAGTCACAGGCCAGCCAGGGCTACATAGTAAGAACAGGGGGTACCAGTGTGCAGTGGTCCCACAATGGGGCTGCTCTGAGAATTCTCTTCCTTCTGTTCCCTTACCAGCCACAAGGGAGCCTGAGAACCCTGTATCGTGACCATCGTGGTGGGACGAAGATATGAAATAGTCCAGAACTGCTCCATTCGGCTCTTGAGCTACTGAAACAATGGTCTCCAAGAAGCTGGAATTTCCCTGGAAATCTCTGACTGGGAAAGGGAGAAGGTTGAAGCCTGGTGCCAGCCAGAAGGAGGTCTTGTCACTTGGGACGTGACCCTACACAGTTCTGACAACTTGTCAGACAGCTTTGCAATAGAGATCGGAGCAGAGATAATTATGGGTCAGAGATGGGCAGGGCCGCACCCGCCCCAAGACTGCTCAGCAACCTTCTGGCTTCTATTTAAGCCTAAGCCTCATGTCAGAACCCCAACGATGGCCTTGGGCAAGAAGCCTTTGGAACACGGCTGGACCTCTTTGGTCTTCTTCCCGATGTGGCCACAGAGAAGAAATTTCTCTTCCTTTGCATTGCTTGACTCTTCCATTGGCCTGTTAAGGATGGAGGTAAAGCTGAACTTGTTAGGGCTGCCAGAGCCCGGGCAGTGCCTGAATTCCTCAAAGGAGGGAAAACACAGCTTTGGCCCAGAAACAGCATTCTAAGAACAGTGTGTTTGTCTGAGGATGTGGAGCGGGCGAGGAGGATGGGCCGCAGCCTGAGAGAGATGCACGGGGCTCAGAGCCAGAGAGAACAGGAGGAGAAGCAAGCACCCAAGCCGGCTGCACCCATGGCCCTAGTCCCACGTTTCCTCAGGAATGCACACCCAGTGACTAAGTGTGCTCTCTCATCGGAATTCACCCACAGGGCCACGTCTTTTATTATCCTGGGCAGATCTTGCATCTAGAAGGATCCATGGTCCGGCACCTGCTCACTCCCTAAGTGGCCCAGCCTCAGCCTATGAGCCCAAGAGCTCCACCACCCAGTCCCCCCAACCCCGGGTCACCCCAGCTCATGCGGGTTTTCTAAAGCCAGCACTGACAAAGGCAGAGTGTCTTGTCCTGGTGATTAGGAAGCAGAGGATTTGCAGATAGAAAGGAGCCAGGAGCCCCTGGGCCAGGGTTAGACTGGGTTTTCTCCTGTACCTTTCCTGATCCCCGTACCCTGCCAACCCTCAACTGGTGTCTGCGCAGCCTGAGACCGTGGGTAGTGAGCACGTACCAAGAAGGCCAGTGTTGCCTGTGTCCCTGTCTCGGGGCCTCTGATGTGTGACAGGAGACTTGAGTACAAGTGCCAGATAAGAGCCTTTGTGTGGGATGGGGAGGGGAGGGGAGGGTTGAGAGGAAGGACAGTGAGGGGAGGGGAGGGCACCCACACAGTGGCCTCAAGAGGTGGGCACAGCTGAGGGTGGATGAGCTGCTAAATGCTTCAGCAGCAGATCAATTCCGCAAAGCAATTGTCCTCCCCCAGCTGGCCCCAGGAGGCTTAACTTAATCACTCTGGAACAATATCAGAAGATGGCCGGGATGCACAAATTCCCGCTTCCTGAAAGGAAACAATTGACTGGACACGCGAGTCCCCAGGGCAGAGTCCAGACAGCTTCATTAAGTCCCCAAGTGTCCCCCTATGCTTGCTACTCTCCTCCCCCTCCCCTACCTTTATCTCCTTTCCCTACCCCCAGAACCTGAGTTCTCATAATGGTTCCTCTTCCCTAACTGGAAATAACAGAACCAAGCAGAGTGGGGGTCCTGGGCTAGCATCAAGGGGTGTGAGGCTACATGAGACGAGCCTGTCTTACAGCCTCTGAACAGTCTCTTGTGGGTGTCTTCAGATTCTGTCACCCCGTGCCTACCCATGGCCACACCAGGGTGATGGTGATCGTGGGCTGAGCTGCCACTGTCCTTGAAGTCACTTTGTTCAATTTACAGAGTGGTGGGGTGCCCTGAACTCAGAGACATGGAGCCTTTCAGAGGGCACACAGTCAGAAGCATGGGTACAGGGCTGTGGCTCTCTCTTCGGATCTGGAGGGTCACAGAGGACACAGTCTCCAGAGTCATCCCTGCCACCTGGCCCTCCTCCAGAACCTGGGTTCCCAGGAGCAGCCCTCTAGTGGAAAAAAAAAAAAAGAAAGAAAGAAAAAAAATAGAAAGAACTGTGAAGAAATATTTTCTATGAATGGTCCAGTCACCCAGCCTGCAGCAGCAGCAGCAGCAGCAGCAGGCAACACACGCTCGCCAATGAGACCGGGGTAGCCCCTCCTGCCAGCCAGGAAGGCCCCCTCCCCTGGGGCATGGGATTCCTCTCACCCACACCTACTCACCCCCAATCTGAAAGCTGTCCCTCCCCTTGTCTGCCTCCCTTCCATCCTTTTAAGGAGAACGCTGTAGATTTAAACCACAAATTAAATTTTTAATGAAAGCACACCAGAGTAGTGCCCGTGTGGTGCAATATTGATGAGATTGCAGTGTCCGGCCCACAGGCGCTCACCCCAGAAAGCTTTTTAGGACGTTATGCAATATGGAGCCAAATTAATTATTGGCATCAAAGCTCCGCGCCTCTGTGGAGCTGCTGGGCCAGTGGGTGTAAAACGGGCGCTTTTCATTGTTGTCGGTTCCAATGGCAGTCACAGGAAGAAGGCGATGACTTCACAGAACCGAAAACGAGCAGGGTGATGCCCAGAGTGTCGGGGAAACCGAGGGCAGGGAGGGGGCAAAGGGAAGGGAGAGAGAAAGATGTATGCAGAGAGGGGAAACGATAAAGGAAGAGATGTTTGTACTTAGGGGGAGGGCGAAAATGTGTGTGTGTGTGTGTGTGTGTGTGTGTTTGAGAGAGAGAGAGAGAGAGAGAGAGAGAGAGAGCGCACACACGCAAGAGCAAACACAGAGGAGGATTTAAGACTCCAAGCAGATACTGCAGCAAAATGCAGCACTTCCCCCCTGGCCATGGGCTTGGCTCCTGTCACTTTCAGCCTCTCCTTCCGGTACTCCCAAGCAGAACCTACTCAAAGGGGCCATGGGTGTGACCTAATGCATCCAGCTGGGCATCATACCCATGACCCTTCTCCACAGGGACTCTTGGCCTTCATGAGAGCAGGATCCATGCCTGGGTAGAAGGGTGCAGGTGCCAGGGTCTGACCAGGAGAAAGTGAACTTCCTGGTGGCCAGGTCGCTGTCCTCCCAGCAACGGCCACTCTAGTTCTTCCTCCAGCCCACACAGGACAACAAGGTCTGGGAGGAGCTGCACCCTGGCCTTTGCAGGCACTGGGCCTGCAAAAACCTCCCAGGATGTCAGGTAGGCTTGGGCCAGGAGGCCTCCCAGAACAGCAGGAGGGAAGGCCCCTCCTTGGTTCTTGGCGCCCAAGCCAGCACCCTGCGATCTGGCCTTTCCAACTCAGATATGGCTTTATCTGATTCCTCCACTGGGAGGTGAAGATAGTACCTCTCAGAAATAAAGAGCTCCTAAGTTGCAGGGACTTGTTCCAGGTTTTGAGACCAGAGCTACTATAGTGGGCTTCAGCTTCCTGGTACAGCTCATATTCTCAGCCCTGGGCCCCCGTGCCCAAGGCCAGCCTCTACGGACACCAGAGCTGCTGTTTGTTTGCAGGTCCAGACAGGAACACCCTTGGTCTCCACCCCAAGATGCTAAAGGAACTGGGAAGGGACCACAGGTGACTTTGTTAGGGTGTCAGATGCCTACTGAAGGGACAAGGTAGGTGTGGTGGGGCACACCTAGCCCCAGCACTTGGGAGGCAGAAGCAGGCAGATTTCTATGAGTTTAAGGGCAGTTGGTCTACATACCCAGTTCTCTGTCAGGCTAGCCAGGGATATATACTGAGACCCTGTCTCAAAAATAAATAAAAATTAAAGGAACATTTAGATTGTTTCCTGGTTCTGGCAATGACAAACAATGCTGCTGTGAACATAGTTGAGCATGTGTCCTTGTGTCACGGTTGAGCATCCTTTGGGTATATACCCAAAAGTGGTATTGTTGGGTCCTGAGATAGGTTATTTCCTAATTTTCTGAGAAATCACCATATGGATCTAGAAAACATCATATTGAGTGAGGTAATCCAGACCCAGAAAGGCAAATGTAATATGTACTCACTCATAAGTGGCTTTTAGATATAAAACAAAGAAAAACCAACCTACAATCCACAACCCCAGAGAACCTACACAACAAAGAAGACCCTAAGAGAGACATACATGGATCTAATAGGAAGGTGAAAAAGACAAGATCTCCTAAGTAAACTGGGAGCATGGGGATCATGGGAGAGGGTGGAAGGGGAGGTGGGAGGAAGAGAGGGGAGCAGAGAAAAATATATAGTTCAATAAAACCAATAAAAAATTCTTTAAAAAAAATTGAAAGGACAAGTACATGGATTCAGGAGTTGTGGCTTGGCCAGAGACTGATGGAGAGACAGTGGGGCTTCTCAGCCAATCGGCAGAGCCAAGGGCTAAGTGTTGATCAGCCTTGTAATCCACACGGAATGAGGCCCTGGCTCCCCAGATGGCATCATTTGGGGTACCTTCCCCACCCCATCTGGATTCCTGACCATTGTCCCACCCAGTTGGGTTCCCTGCCTAGTGCCAACAGAAGTCATTCCAGGTCTTCCTGGGGCTCCCCGGGGTCCTTGCACGGGCTGAAAGTTGTCACGTGATCTACAGTGCAGCTCTGCTGACCACTGAGTCTGATTTCTCAGCACCTGCTCGCCCACTCTGGCTATTCCCAAATGCAAGGCCTTTGTGGGTGCCTGAACAGTTCTCCCTCCGACTTCAGAACAGGCTTAAGTGTTGTTTGCAGGAATGGAGCCTGGATCAAGAGCTGCTGCATCTTCCCCAGGTGTCCCCTCTGTGGCTGGCTCTCCCAGGGCTGAGTCTGACGCTGGTGGCGCTGGTGGCTGCTGAGGGTGGCGGCTGAAGAGTACAGGCAGTGAGTGAGGGGTGAGAGAGCAGGAATGGAGGGGGATGTCAGGGTATGCAGGCTCATGGACACCCTGGGGCAACTGGAGCTCACTCCTATGGAGGGTCCTGGTCCTCCAAGCCTGTCACAGGTGTGGACACCCTGTCCCCCCAGAACACTTGCAGGAAGGTGTGTGGCTGTGCAGAGAAGTTGGGAGCTCCAAGTTGCCTTTTCAGGAGGAGGCCACAGCCTGGGGAGATGATGGGGGCTCCAGGAAGGGCCTCCTCCGCCCTTGCAGGTCTTCGCACGCTGCAGTCCCCTCTGGTTTAGCCTACTTCCTCCTTGAGGTAAGGGGCGGCAGTGGCGGCAGTAGCAGGTTCTCCCTGCACAGGGAGTATGAGCAGCGCCATGCGGTGTTCGCCTGGTGGGCAGCACTTGGGGACTCTCCGTGGTAAGAAGGGGCACAATGGGCCGGGGATTTGTGTCTCACCATGTCGCAGCATGACAAGAGGCCTAAGGAGGGTCATAGAGAAAGTAGGTGAGGTGGCTGAGGCTAGCCCGCTGCCAGGCATCTACAGGTTCCTGCTCTGAAGTCTTTTCAGTCAGAGCAGAAACAAAAATTACCCCCAAGAAAGAACTTGGGGACCTAAACACGTCATCACCAAGGACCCGTTCCCTTTTCTCTCCCATTCTTTCCAGCTACTTAAGCAGTTTAAGGTTTCTAATTTTTCTACCTTCCACACAGGGATTTTTGAGGATGATCCTGCCACTCTTCATCTGCCTGAGTTCCCAGGAAAGATAGTGGTGAGAGACGCTCAGGGCCTGAGAGATCTAGACGCCGAGTCAGCAGGAGGTACAGAGAAGTGGGCACCCGGCTCGAATGGCAGGCCGGTCTCTGGGCTCCTTCTGCACAACTGGACACTCCTACCTGGCATGGAGACCCTCCCTGACCTAGCCCAGGGGAGCCGACAACATACCATCATGTAGTAACCACACTGACTTGCTGATTGGCACTTCCTATGTGCCCTGCATTCCACGGAGCACCTCTCCACCTCCGTCTAATTCAGTTCACATCCTTCCCAGAGTCAAGCTGAAACTGGAGAGACCCCAGAGCTTATCCACGGTACTCCTCTCCCCTCCCACTGCTCCAACTTGCCGTTGGCTTCACTTTGAACAGAGTTCCCATCATATAATTTTTGACATTTTTACTCAGGGTAGAGTCTGGCAAAGAGTCCAAGGACTTTCTCTAGAACACTATAAAATCTTGATCTAGGGACTCCAGGCTGTTGGATTCTGGCTTCGGACCTATCACCGAGCCTTCTTACAGACATCTCCTAGTAATTACGGGCAGTGGATGCCAATGTCTTGAGCAAAGTGCTCCGAAGAGAAACTTAAAACCAAGAAAATTCTATCCATCAATTAAAACAAAAAATAGCCAGAAGCCTCGCTGTGTCTCCAGGGTTCAGGAGAGTTCCTGGCACGCAGCAGGCTCCCGACGGCTGCTCATCCAGTCAGCGGCTGCTCATCCGGTCAGCGGATGAAGGATCAGATTTGGTGGCCAGCTCCGGCTTTCCTGGAATCCTGTTCCTTTGCACGTTTACTCAGCTGCCTCATTCAAAAAACGGGCAAAATACATCCATGGGCCACCAACTGTGCTACTTCCTAGGCCCCTTGAGCATCGAGAAGAGGGACCCACATAGGCATGGGGTCCGGTCTATTTGAGCTGAGCCTTTCTTCAGATACGTGTCATTCCCCTAGTGCTGTGGACGGCCCCAGCGAGGCCTTGGACTTCACCCCAACGACTACTCTGTCCTGGGTCAACCAATGGCCACCCCGTCCCCCAGCGAAGAGGCAGGAGAGCTGCTGCTTCCCGCTAGAAGGAGCCCACGCTTTTCCTTTCCTAGGTATGAGTGATGGTGTCCGTACAGAGACCTTGTAGTCGCTGTAATCCCTCGCCGGCACATATCATTTTTATTCCGAAACACTTTTATGCCTCCACTCATTTTATATTTCATATGCTCTCTCCCGGTGTTTGGCAGATGGTGAAATTGATGCGCAAGGGTACAGCGAGCTGGCGGGGCCCCTCCGGTACCCTTCAGGCCAGCCAGATGCCGTTAGCAGAAAGGAGCATCTCATCTCTAGGACAGAGTTAGTGTGGGCAGGGCTCCACATGGCTCACTCCAGGCCGCTCTCATTTGCATTTATGAGCTTAGTGTCAGAAGGGCAACAAGGTGAATGATGTAGGGGGTGGTCCTTTTTTTTTTTTAATGCTGAGACTAGAAATCTTTGAATGCTGGATTCCCCCTGTGTTCTCTTTATTTTTTTTTTAAATTTACTTTCATTTTCACTTTTGGTTTTTCAAGACAGGGTTTCTGTGTAGCTTTAGTGTATGTCCTGGAATTTTCTCTGTAGACCAGGCTGGCCTTGAAGTCACAGAGTTCTGCCTGTCCCTGCCTCCCAAATGCTGAGATTAAAGACATGTGTCACCATCGCCCACCCAGCTTCCTGCTTTCTCTTTAACACCACATTCTTCCAGGGTGGCCTTCCTCATGACTTGACTGTACCTCCATTTTCAGGCTGCAGGGTTGCCTCATGTCCCCAACACCTGCAGAGCACTTGGACCCAGCATAGCTTGTGATGTTTGTTATACAACACCAAGGGAGGGTGAGACTCTGGGGTAAGGACTCATGAACTTTCTTCCTCTAGGCTCACACAGTCAATGCCTTCCTTCTCTCCCTATGGGCAGCATCAGTGCTTCACTTCCTCAAGAGGAAGACAGCCCAAGCTCTCTCAGTTTAATGTCTATCCTTTGCTGTGGGGCAATGCTCCTGTTCACTGTAAAGATTTGTCACTCATATTGGTTTAATAAAACACTGATTGGCCAGTAGCCAGGCAGGAAGTATAGATGGGGCAACCAGACTAAATGATTCTGGGAAGAGGAAAGGCAGAGAGTGAATCACCAGCCAGATGCAGAGGAAACAAGATGAGAATGCCTTACTGAGAAAATGTAACCAAGCCATGTAGCTAAACATAGACAGGGTTAGTTTAAGTTGTAAGAGCTAGTTAGTAATAAGTCTGAGCAATAGGTCAAACAGTTTATAACTAATATAAGCCTCTGTGTGTTTATTTGGGACTGAATGGCTGCTAGACTAGGCAGGACAGAAACTTCCCTCTACAATTCTTCTTGCTCCAAACTTAAGCCAAAACCAAATGTCTTGAGCTATCATTAATTCCCTAAGGCAATTAATCAAGTTCCCCTCTTCCCTGGCCTCTGCTACAGCCTTCATGCTTTACCAGTGGAATCTCATGGTCTCTGCTGCCCCTCAAACTCTTTCTTCTGGGACCTCAGAGCGCGCCAGACACAGAGCACCACTGCCGTTGCTCCGAGGAGGACGGACACTCAGCCATGCTCCCTATCGACCTAAAGTCTGTCTATCTGTTTCTACCACATCCCCATATGACACCCGTTTAGCATTTCATCATTGATAAGGTAAACTCCCTGCCATACTTGCTTACACTGTTTGTGATGCTGAACGTTGTCTGTGAGTGTGTGATATTGGGGATTGAACCCAGGGCCTTGTGCATGCCAGGTGAGCGTTTTGCCATTGACCTACACATGCAGTTCCTGTGTTGATCATGCAAACCACCTCTATGTTTCCCACACTCTTCCAGACCTTGCTCCAATGTTACATGGTCAGCAGGCACTACTTCTTGACGGTAGCCCTGACCTGTGCCCGGAGGCTCGGGGAAGAAAGTGTGTTTTATCTGTCTACTGTACTGAATGGAGTGGTCTCAGAGATGGGGGTCGGTATTTTGCTCATCACCGACCCTGGCACCTTGCCTGCCCTCGGCAGACGCTCTGGAAAATGTCTGCCAAACTGAGAGCAAACACTAGGAATGTTTACACTGTGTTAAGTGCCCAAGATCTCGCCTGGCATCTGAAAGCCCTGCTTGGAAGAGCTGGGCAGCTTCGTATTCCCACCTGCAAATGAATGCTTACTGGGACAACAATCAAGTCGCCAGTGCAAGCCCTCCTTACCTGGGCTCAGCCCATAGCAGGACGGGGAGGGCTGGCCAAGAGACCATGTAGGTCCCCGTCCCCAGCAGGACTGGGCCAGTAGCTTCCTGGCTGGCTCAAAAGGAAGGAGGGCTCAGAAGGTGTCCCTTCCTGGGGGAACCCTTGGCAGGGCACAGAGAACGTGGAGGGAGTCAGTTGCCTGTGACGACTCAGTACCCAGAGCAGTAGGGCCCGCTCCCTTATATTCTGGCAGTGGGAGCAAACAGTGAGCAAGGCCAGCTTTAGATGGAGAAGACAAGCGAGATGCGCTGGAGCCCAGAGTCCCCGACAGTCTCACCCACCTGCACAATGGCTAGGGATGTGCTGGGCCCCTATTCCTACCAAGCCCCTTCATTTGCCTGGCAAGGACTCCTAACTGGAATGGAAGGACTTGATGGGCATCACATTTGCACCAGACCTCCTATGGTGGGCCTCTGTGCATTTCTTCTTCTGTGAGAACAATAGCCAAAGCATGCCTTGACCAGACACATGAGCAAACACAGAAGGAGGTCTTGAAAAAGGACAACCAGGGTCTTGTAAGGGGCTCAGCAGGGTGGAATGCTCACCACAGATTTCAGTGTGTGTGTGTTCCTATACGCATACGGCTACAGGTGCCCATGGGGGTCAGAGACCACGGATCTTCTGGGACTGGAGTTCCACGCAGCTGTGAGCCATTTGCCTTCTGTGCTTGGAACCAAACTCAAGTTCTCTGGAAGAGAAAAACATGCTCTCAACTTGAGCAACTCCAGCCCAATAATAAATATTCTCTTCTCCTTTTTTCCAACATTTTTTAAAATTAAAAAGTATCAAAAGTACAACCAACCTCGCCCCAACACCCCCCCCCCTTGGTTTCTCCAGATATGGTTTCTTTGTGCAGCCCTGGCTGTACTGGAACTCACTCTGTGGACCAGACTGGCCTTGAACTCAGAGCTCTGCCCCGCCTGCCTCTGCCTCCTGATGCTGGGATTAAAGGTGTGTGCTGCCACCACCACCACCCGGCAGGAGTGTAACTTCTTGATTGTAAGATAGGGTGCCAGCCACAGACATGTCCGTGGAGGGGACAGACAGAAAGACTTTTCCCAGCAGGTCTTTTGCAAGTCACAGGGCTGGTGGGCGGGGAATGACTCTGGGGTGCAGGTGGGCTGAGGCTGTGACTCAGAGGCCTGTGAGGCTTACTGCTGTCTGAGTACCACCTCCTCCCCTTGGTCCCTAGGTGATTTATGGGGAAGTTTCATGTGACACATATGGCTATGTCCTTACGGCTGGTCCCTGTGGTAGTAAGAAGCCCACAGGTGGCTGTCTGTGGATACTGTCCCCCAACCTTGTTTGGGGAATGTTGACAGTGACACCCACACCACTCAGGGGGAGAAACAAAACACAGCCAGCATCAGGGCTGAAAAGAGAGTCAGCCCCGAACAACACAGGCATGGGGGGCAAGGAAAAAAAACCCAGCCACTTAATCCTCGGCAGGGCACTCACTACCCAAGATGGGTGCCAGCACGCTATGGCATGTCCCCCAGGAGGGTTTGCACATGGCTCTGTGACCGATGTGGTTACAGACCAATGTGAGACTCTGTGGTTCTCTTCATGGGAAGTGGGGAATGGGTCTTCTCCACCCACTCAGCCTCTCCCAGGTTCTCCCTAGCTGGGATAGCTTTTCCCAAAGCACAAGGTGGACGGACCTTCATGCTAGAAGGACTCGGAGGCAGGGGTATGGGGAGGCTGGTGCTCTGTCTGACACTGTCCCAGACCCACCTGGCATCAGCACAGGTCCTCCTCCAGGCAGCTACCTGAGGGGAGTGGTAGAGCCCATGGCCATGCTGGTGACAGTGCCTGACCTGCTGGTGGCCAAGCTGTAAGAAGGGGCTTGAGCGCACCCCTGTGTGAGCGCCTACTCTCGTCTGAGTAAAGGCCCTGACAGGCATTGATGTCCTCATAATACTGTATGATTTCCTTGTGGAGTCCTCCTGAGTACACCCACCTTTTCCACCCTAGCGCCAGCCATCAACTTGCAAACAAAATTTACCTGCCCATCGGCCTGTGAAAACTGCTCCCTCCCTCCCTCCCTCCATGATGTGCAGAGCCCAGGCCAGGCGGCTGTTCAGTCTTCAGGAAGTTTGCAAGCTGGTTAACACAGCCATCATTAAGGCTTAAATTACATAAAAGTTACAATTAAATAATTATAGTGAAAACTAAGTATTCTAGATGCATCACTTCCTAATTATTTTATACATCTCATTCTGTTCTCCTGCCGTTATTATCGCTGGGCTTCTCATGGGCATGGTGGGACCACTCTGTAAGGCTGTGTGTGCTAGGCCCCAGGGTTTCCCAGCCCCAGGTGTGGCACTGTGTCCACAGACCCACGCAGGGGTATTTACTCCACCTCTTCTCACCTCAGTTCCAGGCTCTGGGATGTGGTACCCGGGCCAGGCAGAGAGAAATAACTGTCTTTGTGTAAGGAGCCAGTGTAGCCCCTGTCATTGGCTCCTTGGATTTCCCCTCGGATGGTTTTTGGGTAAGATACACTTCCTTTCCTTTCCCCAGGTCCCCTGGGCTACTAGACAGTCTGAATAAAGGGAAGCAGAGCTAACTTTGTAACGACCAAGGTGGACTCTCCCTACCCAGGATCCTGAGAACGGCTGGGAATGATTTAAAGAGGCCTCTTCTAGTGCGGTTGCCCACCTGCGCTGGGTAGCTCCAGAAGGGGTCCGCATAGCGCCTCCAAGTGGACAGAACACTTCGCAATGGTGGCCCAATGGACTGTGCCCTTAGCTGTCTTCCCTAGTCTAGTCTCCATAGATCCCAAAGGTATTGTCTCCCCTGGTCACAGGCTCGGGTCTCTTTCTACCCTCTGAGCCACCCGCTCCCATCATCCTCTGTCAAAGGGTTATGCGCCCTCAGTACCTAAGTGTTAAAGTACCAAGCCGCTGAGGTCTCCAGGATGGTAAAAATCGGAGTCCCGGTCCGCTCCTGGGCCTCAAGATACAAAATCGAGCTAAGCACTCCAGCTCCCTCTACACACCTGCAGGGGAAGGACCAGGCTAGTCTCCCGCGCCCACGCACTCTGAGCGGGGATAGCCTCGCCGCAGGGCCGGGTCGGGAACTGCTTCGTGTCAGACGCGTGGGGGAGGCGCCGCCGGGCCGAAGCGCTAGGCTTGCGCGGGGTCCCCGCGTCCCTCCGCACTGAGTTGGGAGTTGGGGGCTAATCTCCAAGCAGCGCAGCGCCCCCGGTTAATCCTCCGGAGTTCCGCCTCAGCTAGTGTGGCTCCGTTGCACATCCCGCCCAGAGAGGCACGAGGCTAATCCTGGGTCCCAAGTGGGGGATTTAGGGGGCGCCCGGGCGCGAGGCGCTGCGGATTCCTGTGCTCGGTACAGGGCAGTGGACACGTTGGAGCAGGAGTCCCGCACTCTCTCCCTGCACCGAGCCCAGGACGGCCGCGTGCGGGCCGAGGGGTCCCTCTGGCGCCCGGAAGCGGCGGTCTAGCAATGATGCATCGGGCGTGCAGGGGCCACTGAGGCTCGCAGCCCGGACTCCGGATGGTTAAATGCGGAGATGTGGAACGTAGGCCGTGGGGCGCCCCTGGGGCTTGGGGCTTGGAGGAGGCGTCAGAGAAGACCTGGATAATGGCTTCTCTGTCAATCTGGCTTCTACTCTCACCGCCGGCGATGCCCACTGCCCACACCTGGGATCTTCTGTCCGAGGGCTGCCTGTGGATCCCGGACTCACGGGCGGGACCTTGTCTGGCTCAGCGCCCTGTAAAAGGCTGTGGGGCAACCAGTCGACGGCTTGATTGGAAAAGATGGTGGGGGGGGGGCGCGGTCTGCGGGGCCAACTAGGCCAGCTGGTAGCTGGGGCTCTTTCAGTCTTTTAAAACCCGATTTGGGTTCTCCCTGCCTTAGTTTCCCTTTCTACATAATTGGAGCTTGGAATGAGTTCCCAGGCCCAGTTCTGGTTCTGACTTGGGGCACACGATGCAGCCCAGACCCTTGTCCATAGTCCCCAGAGGCATTGGAACCTGGACTGGAATCCCGGCCAGGCAGTGCCGCTATCCAAAAGAAAAAAAAAAAAAAAAAAAAGAGGCGTGGGTGTGCGGGTGGCTTGGTCCGGGTGTCTAGTGTCTATAAGAAAACGATCAGAGATGCGAAGAAGTCGCTGCCCACCTCTGGGGCACCTCCCCCGAAGTCCCGGAGCGCGAGGAATAGGCTAGGCGGAGTTCATGTGGAACGAAGCCCAACACACATAGACATACAAAGGGACACACGGACACGCCCAGAGCGCATTCTCACTCTAAGGGAAGGAGCTCCCGCCGGGGCCCCTTTAGAGCCAGCTTCTGGGGCGCCACCTGCCCGGAACTAGGCTGGCTTTGGTGGCAGGAAGGGTTCGATTCGCAGATGCTAGAAGGCACCAGTCCTGACGAGTGCATAGGGAGGCTCTTCTTCTGGGGCGGGAGATGGTATCGCTAGGTCCACGAACCCCAGGAATTGGGAGAAGGGGAATGCAAGAGGGCGGGGACCCAGGGCGTGGGAGTTCCCAGACCCAGGGTGTTCCGTGGCTTTCAACCCCAAACAGACGTCTATGAACCGTGGAGCGGCTTAGCTACCCCTTTTCTGAATCTTGGCGAGCTGCACGCTGGGCACACCGACGTTGACGATTTGGGGAGAAAAGGGCTGCAAGCGCGCAGAACCTGAACCTGGCGAGCATTCAGTGCGACCAAGCGATTTGAGCTTGTCTTGTAGCCTTTCTTCTCTTCCGAGCCCCGTCGGAGATTAGGGGTATCGAGTAGGTGCCTCACCATCTAATCCAGGTCCACGGTTGATCTCCCCATTGGCCGTGTTCTGGGAGCCTTCGGGGAAGCGGCGCGGGCCCTGGCGGGGGCGTGCGTACGGAGGCGGTGGGAGGGGGCGGCGGCGGATCCGGGAGGGATGAGAGAGGGAGGGCTGAAGTAGCTCCAGCCGCGCTCCCGTGCGACCCCCGCGGCGCCGCGGGGCCAGTCCGCACACAATTAAAGCGGGATTCCTCCCCCGCTGACGTCGGCGGCGCCGAGGCCCCTCCCGCGGCTGCATAAAAGGCGCGGGCTCCGCAGCGCAGGCGGCAGTGGGGGCCGAGAAGCGCGGCTGAGAAGACCGTACGGCTGAGAAACGCGGTGCCCAGAGCGCGGGCCGCCTGCCGAGCGACTGCCCCAGCCAGCCCGAACCCGGTCCCAGCCCGAGCCCCACCGGAGCCGAGCGGGCTCGGTGCTCCAGGTGTCCGCAGCCATGCTGGTCGGCCGCGCCGCGCGCACCTGTGCGCTGCTCGCCCTCTGCCTCCTGGGCAGTTGGGCCCAGGATTTCGGGCCGACCCGCTTCATCTGCACTTCGGTGCCGGTGGACGCCGACATGTGTGCCGCGTCCGTGGCCGCGGGCGGCGCGGAGGAGCTTCGGAGCAACGTGCTGCAGCTCCGCGAGACCGTGCTGCAGCAGAAGGAGACCATTCTCAGCCAGAAGGAGACCATCAGGGAGCTGACCACCAAGCTTGGCCGCTGCGAGAGCCAGAGCACCCTGGACGCAGGTCCGGGCGAGGCCAGGTCGGGCGGCGGCCGCAAGCAGCCTGGCTCGGGCAAGAACACGATGGGCGACCTGTCCCGGACGCCGGCCGCGGAGACGCTCAGCCAACTCGGGCAAACTTTGCAATCTCTCAAAACCCGGCTGGAGAACCTCGAGGTCCGCGTGAGCTGCGGTCCCCCCTCCCTTCCGCGTTGTGCGCCCTTCTGCCCTCGCCCACCCCGATCCCGACCCGATCCGCCCCCGCCACCCCCCTTCTTTGCCTCTTCGGCGCGCTGATGCCGGACCGTCGCTTCTCGGACCCTGCGGGGCGCCGAGGGCGGCCTCTCTCCGGGGCTCCCCGCCAGGCCGCCCCCGCAATCACCCCAGGGACCGCGCCGCGGGCCTTCGCTCACGGTCCGGGCTGCACGCCTAACGGTAACGGTGTGGTTTTCCCCTGCCCTTGTGCCCCCGCAGCAGTACAGCCGCCTCAATTCTTCCAGCCAGACCAACAGCCTCAAGGATCTGCTGCAGAGTAAGATCGATGACCTGGAACGGCAGGTGCTGTCTCGGGTGAACACTCTGGAGGAGGGCAAAGGGGGCCCCAAGAACGACACAGAGGAGAGGGTCAAGATCGAGAGCGCCTTGACCTCCCTGCATCAGCGGATCAGCGAGCTGGAGAAAGGTAAGGGCCCAGGGGGACATGCTGCATGCTCTCGGCTCTCTCTAGAGACATGGCCAGGGTCCCGCTCCCTGCCCTGGCCTCTGGTCCCAGACCCACACTGTAACCCCTCCCCAGTCAGAGCTTCCCGCGTAGTGCCCTGGAGAAGCAGCGGAGCTTAAGAACGGATTGCACAGTGCAGTCAGGACACTCACAGGATTTTTTTCAAGTCTGATTTGTTTAATCTTCAGTAACTTTGCACAGTAGCAGTGTCTGGCCCAAGCTTTCCTTAGTGTTTGGAAAGCCTTGCTTCAGCTGGAATGTGTTACCGGCAGAGACTGGACACCCTCGCTCTTGGGCTATTGAGTGTCTTTCCTCCCAGTTGCCCAGTGCCCCTGGTGTCCTGATCCAGGTCCCTCTCTCCACCTTGAGCCCCCTCTTTCGATTTTCTTTTTCCAGTGACCCATCTTTCATGCCACCGAGTTTGCCCTGGTCGTGAACTCAGACCGCCCCTAGCACCTGCCTGGGTGTACTGAGTAGTTGTACCCTGGAGTCGCAGAAATCAAACAAGGTTGTAAAAGGAGGAGGGGGGCACCCAGCTCAGAGAAGGGCCACGTGACCCTGCCCGGACTGCAAAATGTGCCGGCTGGATTTAAACAGTGCCATCTTAAGGCGTGTTATGTAACTGAAAAAACATCAAGGAAAAGAGACCTAAGAAGGGAGGGGTGGGAGATTCAGGAAAAGAAAACACTCCTGAGGGAGGCCAGTACTCCCCTCCCCAAACTACAGCTTGAATTGGGAGGGATCTGCAGTCAGGACTGACCCTGCTCACTTGCTCTCTTGGCTTGGGGTGTTAATTGTTTCTGCCCTGGACCCTCTGCTTTCTAGAAGTCACTCTTAATTTGGGGACCAGGTTCTTCCTGGGCTGTGGGGCAGGGGTCAAGCCAGGAGCTGGCAGGGCAGGTGCATCCCTTGGCTCTAATAGGGTGAGTACCCGCTGCTCAACAGGACCTGTTTTCCTGGGAGCCAGTCACAGCAGGCCCAGGGCCAGCCACAGGAGGTGTAGAGGTGGGAGTGAGAGTTAAGACACTCCCAGAGGATGCTGGTTAGCAGTCAAGAAACTGGATGGGGGAGCCAGGCACGGGGCCTGAGTTTCCAGGAAGCTGGTCAGAGGCTGTGACACCCTCAAAGCATCACCCCGGGGTCTCTGATCCAAAGGAGGGTGATTTCCCCTGCTGTCCTGCCTCTCTCAGTGGACCAGGCAGCATCCTGGGGGAGCTGGTTGAGAGCTGCAGCTCCGTCTGAGAGAGTTGTGCAGAGGTCCAGTGAGTGCCTGGATGTAGCATGTCCTGGCTTCAGAGAAGGGGCAGGCAGGAGGGGATGGCTGTCTTTGGTGGAGATTGAAAAAACGCAACACAATCAAAGAGGTCCTAAACATCGTCCCTGTCTAAATCAGGTCGGCCCCCAAGGGGGATGCTCAGCAGGGAGCTAGCCTGGTTCCTTCCTCCCCTGCAGCCACACCTTCTCAGTCTTTCTGCCAGTGTGCCCTGAAGCAGGCCCAGTTCCCTCTCCATGCCCACTCTGCAGCCCAGAGGCAGGTTCGCAGCCTGTCCTGTGCTCTTCCCTGACCCTTGCCTCCCCAGAGATGGCACCATGTGGCAGTAAGAGCTGGCCAGGCCCAGAGTGCAGAGACCTTGGGTCAGCTTTTTTCCAGCTGGCCCTTTCTGCGTCACGGGACCTGATGGGGGACCAAACACAACTCATACCATAAGCACTTGGTCAAGATGGCAGGACTCATCTTGTCCTCCGTAGGTCAGAAAGACAATCGCCCCGGAGACAAATTCCAGCTGACATTCCCGCTACGGACCAACTACATGTACGCCAAGGTGAAGAAGAGCCTGCCGGAGATGTATGCCTTCACCGTGTGCATGTGGCTCAAGTCCAGTGCAGCGCCTGGAGTGGGCACGCCCTTCTCTTATGCTGTGCCTGGGCAGGCCAACGAGCTGGTCCTCATCGAGTGGGGCAACAACCCCATGGAGATTCTCATTAATGACAAGGTAATGCCACCATCCTGACAGGACCAGGGCAACAGGATAAGGCCCACCCAGGACCCTGGGATGTCATCGGAGCTGTGTGCCCACACCTCACCAGAGTTAGGGGACAGCAGGCCTTCTACATTCTGGGGTGTGGGGTGCTTATCAAGGCTGTGGCTCTGAGAAAAATGTCTGCCCAGCAAGACCGAGGGAGGAGGATGCTGAATCCGATCAGAAATGGGGAGGTACATCTTCACCTGCTCTCACTGGAAAACAAGGAGAGCTGGAACGTTCCAGAAAGAGGACTTAGCTGGAGGAGGGGAGGAAGGAAGGGGTGGTAGAGGACAGCCCTGGGAATGTTCTAGTCTGCCCTGCTGATATTCCGGCTCCTCCTCCACTGGCTGGGCGACTGGCTGAGGTTTTCCATATTTGGTGACTAGATGCTCTGGAGGGTGAAGCCGGCCTAGAGTCTCTCGCTTGTCTAGATCTGTCTCACTTTGGCCCTGCTCTCGGGAAGAGGCCAGCCCCCTCCCACCAGGAGAGGGCAGTTTTTCTCTTCAGCGAGCTGAGCGCCACCCTGCCCCTCTGGGTTAGTGGAATTAGCTACCAGCTTTTTACCCCCTCCTTAGAGCTCCAGCACCAGTAGAGAGAATGACTCAGACCTGGCTGGGAACGGGACCAAAAGACCCTAGAATGTATTGCACGTTCCTTGACCTTATGGGATGGGACTTGTCACGCACTGTCCCCCATCTAGGGTGGATGAGGGTCTGAAACGCTGCTTGAGTCCGAGCCCTTCTTACAGCCTCACTCAGGTTCTCTGCAGGGGCTGATGGCAGGCAGTGTAGACCAGAGGACCCAGTAATTGGGAGTGGAATGCTGAGAAAGAGACCCAGTGGGGAGGCTGTAGTAGTAAACTTAGCTACCAGGGACACACGCTGTTAGTGGCTTGTTTTCAGGCTAGCTAAGAGAGGGGAGGGGAAGTGAGGTAGTGTGTGTCCAGATGGGTCTCAAGGGCTCCTTGCTTACGCTGTTGGTTTCCAATGGGATTTCGTTGCCCATCCATCCATGGGTGGGGTTGGCAGGTGCTAAGGACATCTGAAGGGGTGATGCTGCTATGAGAGCTCCCTAATAGCCCAATGAGAATTGTAAAGTGGGTTGAGGAGTATCGCAACGGAAGTTGTGAGCCTCCTCCGCTCTGGGTAGCGCTGGGCTGTGGCCGCCATAATGCATGTCATCCTCTTCCCTAGGTGGCCAAGCTGCCCTTTGTAATCAATGATGGCAAATGGCACCACATCTGCGTCACCTGGACCACCCGGGATGGGGTCTGGGAGGCCTATCAGGATGGTACCCAGGGTGGCAATGGAGAGAACCTGGCTCCCTATCACCCCATCAAACCACAGGGCGTGCTGGTCCTGGGCCAGGAGCAGGTACTGGGCAGAGGGTGAGGGAGGGAAAAGTGTGTGCTCCGGGCGGGCTTGAGGAAGCTCCGTGGGAGTGGGCCCAGGACCCAGCACTCTTGGAGACTGCAGCAGCAGGCCTCTTTGGCATGGGAAGCCCAGTTCCACTTTTAGCGATGAATAATTTAGCTCCTGTGAAGTGGTTCATCTCCCACTGGGCACCGGCACCTGGGAGGGAGATGAAGGGACAGGAAGTCAGGTCTTCCATTCCTGTTGGGATGTCTTTTGGTAGACAGGGTGTTTGAGAGGATTGCTGGCCATCCCCCTCCCCCACACTCATTATTGCCCAGAGGATGGACTGAGTGAAAAGTGGTTTCTCAAGGCTTGCAGGGGGTGCAGTCTTTATCCAGATAGGCTGGCACCAGTCCTTTCCCAGGACTCCTCTCAGGGAGGGACAGGTACAGTGTCTTGAAGATTCAGGTGCAGGAGAGCAAACAGTACTAAGTGCATGGGGTGGGGGGTGGGGAAACCTTGATGGGAGAGGGAGGCGTGGATGCCCGGGCTCATTCCCTAGCAGTGGGCTGCTCAGTTAGACTCCTGGATCACCCAGCTAACCCTTTCTTCTCTCCCATCCCCCACTCTTCTCCAAAGGACACTCTTGGTGGAGGGTTTGACGCCACCCAAGCGTTTGTGGGTGAGCTGGCCCATTTCAACATCTGGGACCGCAAGCTGACCCCTGGGGAGGTCTACAACCTGGCCACCTGCAGCAGCAAGGCCCTCTCCGGCAACGTCATCGCCTGGACTGAGTCCCAGATCGAGATCTTTGGTGGAGCCACCAAGTGGACATTCGAGGCTTGTCGCCAGATCAACTGAAGGCTTCAGGCTAGGGCTGAGCCCCCAGCCCCACGCCTGCCCACCCTGCTTGTGCGGTGATGACCCATCGTCTCTTCTCCCCTCCCCCCCAGGAATGACTCAAGGCCATGGCCCCTGCACACGCACACTCACTCAGCCTGGTTTGTCCTCTCCGTGCACATGAAGCAGTCCCGGCTCTTCTTTGGCCCTAAGGACATCCCCATTCTCCCTAGGAGCCCTACTATCTCCCGGGCATGCCTTGCTAAAGCAGGTAGCATCAGCTTTGACAATGCAGAGTTAGGTGAGAGAGAGAGAGAGAGAGAGTGAGTGTGTGTGTGAATGTGTGAGTGTGTGTGTGTAGGGGAGGCTTTTCTTTTAAAATGAGATAGTTCCCTCCTTTCTTTGTGGTTTTTGTACGTTTCTGATGGGTCAGCTGCTTGTGTGTCTTGGGGCTGGTCTTTTTCTCAGCACAGACATTTATCCTCATTTGCAGACCACTTTGGGAGTGACATAGCCCGCTAGTGATGTAAGTCTTATAATAGTCTGTTAAGGCTGGGGAGGCCTTGCCACAGGAATTTTTATTTGGGATAAGTGGATTCTCTGAAAATCGGAGGCTGGTTGTCCTGGGATAGTACCACCTAGATGCCGTCATTTCCCTCCCCAGCCCGAGTCAGGTTGTCTGTTCTCTGCACCTGAGGGTGGAGTGGGCCTCTGAGCAGCTCTGTCCCAGGTCTGCACCTTACCCTTGGCCCTCCTGCCTCCTGTCACTCAAGACTGGGGACCTGTTGTTCCCTCTTGGCCTCCAAAGCTGTGCTACTTCAGCCCAGTGGTTATGAGAAGGGAGTGCCCCACAGAGTCCCAGGACACGGGGCCTTGGCACCCTCCCTCCTCCTGGTAGAGAGACCAGGGGCTTCAAGTGGGGAATCTCACGTGCTTGATCTCACTCCAGAGGGCACTGAGACCTGACCCACAGTCCATGGGAATGTCTTCCCGTGGCATCTTTCACAGCCATACCCCTCCCAGCACACCCAGGCCCAGGTGAGCTAACTCAGACCCCTCTCGGGGGCCAGGGGCTCAGAAACCTCTCAAGTGGAGCTTGCTGGCCGTGGTGGGGCCTGCCATCCACGCCTGCATCTCATGGGGCACAAGCCCTGTGGCAGCCCCAACCCGCCACCGGGCCTGTGACACGGAGCCTGTGGCTTTTCCTTAATGAAAGCAGCATGAATACCGCCTTCTGAGGAGGGGGACAAAATGTGTGTTTGCACATGTGTCTGTGGAATGACAGCGAACGCTGAGGAGGCTGTGTCCCGGTGGGGTGGACCCTGCTCTGTTTCCCCATTTTGTGGGCACATGCCCAAGGACACCTGGACTATGTCTCCTGACTAGCAAAGGGCGGGCAAGTCTTTCTAGAAACCTACGCACTGCCTGGCTCGTCTGCAGCTGCAGACGCTTCCTCAATGGGAGCAGGGCTCGCACCTGCTGTTCCTTCCAGGGGCACCTGTCTCCTTCCACACAGGTCTATGTTGTGTCTGAACCTAGTGCATCCGTGTCGTCTGTGTGCTGTCTGTGTCACTGTTCTTGTGGGTGTCTGCACGGTTCCCGGTCACTGCTCTGTGGCGGGCGCATCGCTCCCCACATCGCGGGAGCGAGCGATTAGGCGGTGTGCCACGCGCCGTCCAGCAGTGGCTTTTTTCTTGCATTCTTGTGCTTCCTCAGCGCCCTTCGGGTTGTGGCATCCTTGGATCTGTGGGGATCTTCTGTGTTTGCATGTTCTTCAGGGTGGTGTGTTCCTTGCTCCCTTGGTCCAATGCGTGTTCCCTTGCCTGCATGGACTTCTCTGGTTCTGTGTTGTGTGCTGAGTGCCACCCAGTGTCCTGTGATCACCCATGTAGTTACTGAAAAAAACGGCTGGGTAAGCAAGCCAGGGGTTTTGGGGAGGTCACGAGAGAGATCAGTATCTCTCTCCCCTCCTTCTCCCCAGACATAGCAAGAAGCATCTCTAACATCTAGGTTGAGAACAAGCCTGAATGGTACCCATGGTTGGGAGAGAGCGAGAGCGTGAGCTTGGAATCAACTTTCCAGACCAGATTGAGCCCCACCCTTACTTTAGCCGTCTGGGAGCCACCACCAGGCAAGGCCCAGAGCTGGCTGTGCCCGGTGCACTCCTGCCAACCCCTGCCACCAGCCCCAGCCCCTGCCAATGCGGACCCCAAACCACCTGCACCCTGATGGGTGGGGTGGGAGCTGTCCGTTCAGGACCACAAGCCATCCTCTGCCCCAGCCTAGAGGGCAGAGCACACCCCAATGCTTATGCCTCCACCCCTTCATCTCCCAGCTCCCCTCTCCCATGCGGCACCCATGGTGCCAGGGACAGAAGCTGATATCTAGCTCTTGCCCTGCCCCTAACTGGAGTCTGTGCCAAGCCCCTCCCCCCGGTCACTGTGTTCACACTTGGCACTTTGCTGGCCCTGAGAAAGGTAATGACAGCCGCAAATCTAATCCACATACTTTCCATCGACTCCGTAATCTGATTGATGTTCCCTCTTGCACTGAATAATACATGCCTCTCTCAGGTAAGCCATTTTATAAAATAAGAGATAAAATGCACTGTCGAGACAGCGTTTGCTTCTGCCGATGGTGTCCGACAGCACCCTGGGCATTAGGGTGGGAGAGCTGCCACGGAGGCTCCCAGGCCCTGGGGGGCTGAGAGCCCACTTGAATTGTAAGCCTTCTTGCTTTTGATAACACAGTATTATTTCTCTTACTGTAGAAGAAAAAGTTTATTACCAAACAAGAGTATTTTTATGAAAGACTAGGACAAACTTATAAATTATCTCAACCTATATCTCCCTTGGAAATACTTTCAGGCTCCACCAAAATGTAGGACTGAAAGAGCGTATTTTGGCAGAAAGAGATACATTTTTGTATGCTTTCTTTTCCTTTTGTAGACTCCCAACTTCTTTTCTAAGACTGCAAAGATCACTTTGTCACCAGCCCTGGGACCTGAGACCAAGGGGTTGTCATGTGGGCACTGGGGGAAGGAGAGGCGGGCCTGAGGTTCAGTCATTCCAGTGAGCTCGGATAAGGGGCCACCAGGTCTCGAGGTGTGCTGGGGACCAGGAGGTTTAAAAAAAAAAGCCTTTGATGGTGGGTTCTTTGTCTTGGAGCTGACCGGTTATGTGGGACGAGTGAGGATTTGGATACCAATTCTGAGCTTGCTAGAAGACACTCGGGCTACTCTGGCGAACACAAGGGCATCATGTCCTTAGTAACCTGAGTGTGGCTGAAAGCGATCATGATTTCATCCAAAACACGACGTGTAAACTTACTCAGCTGACGATGGGAATTGTATTGCTTCTGTACGCAGTGGACTTATGTGCAATCTGTTCAAAGGGGAACAAGTCATTGAGGAGAAACAAAAGCCCAATACTTAGAGTCCCAATTTTGTCTTATTTGCCAAAAAGAGCAACCCCCCCTAGAGTTGATATTGTTACAATGTACATACTGTAAAATATGAAAGAATCGATGTATCTTACTTTTTCATTATTTGCTAACCAAAGCTGTACATTTTTCATACGATCTGCAGCCTTTTGAGTATCAAAGGGGTATACCACCACCATCAGCCATTCTGAAAGTGCACTATTTATACTGGTACCCTTGCTTTCCCCCCCCCCATTTTCTTGCTGAGATGACATGAATTGTTGAGTTTATTTTTACACAGTAAAGAGTGAAGAAAGACTGTGGTCTCACTGGACTCTCTCTCCATGGCTGTGTGTTTGCAGGAACATATGGGGGTCAGTGTGTGTGCTTGCCAAGGCCAGAGCTCAACACCAGTGTCTTCCTCGAAGCCTCTCCACCGTTTTCTTTCTTAAGATTTGTTTGCACTTTACATATGGGTGTCTTGCCTGCATTTGTGTATGTGTGTGTGTGCCTCCGAGGCTAGGAGGATGCATTGGATTCCCCTGCACTGGAGTTACAGCGAAGTTGCCAGCCACTGTGTGGATGCTGGGAGCTAAAGCCAGGTCCTCTGCGAGAGCAGTCAGTGATTTTTAACTCCTGAGTCATCTTCCCATCCCCCACCCCCACCCCTGCACTACCTTATTTTTAGCGGCGAGTTCTCCCACGGAAGCCAAGCCGGAGACTCCCAATTCAGCTAGACTGGATGGTCAATGAGATCCTGGATCTGCCTGCCTCTGCCCCCGCCCCAGCTCTGGGGTTACAGCCACTGTGTCTGGCTTTTGACGTGGGTTCTGGGATCTGAACTCACGTCTTCCTGCTTGCACAGCAAAGCCTTTGACTATTGAGTCATCTGCCTCACCGGTCTCTGACTTCCCCTTCTAATACTTGCCAAGGTTGTCAGTCAGGACACGTGGCCCTCTTCCATCAGGGAGGGATTCCAGCCTTGTGTTAAATCACTCTGTGCCCCTCTACAATCCTATAACCCCTGGGATGTTGGGGTGAGGGTTCTGCGTCTCTTGGGGGCAGCTGACACAGAGGCAGAGAGCCTCCACAAATGACTACACTGGGCCTGGGCACCCAGTAACTCAGGTTCCCCATTCATGGTCACTCATCCCTGCTGGATACAGGTAGGAAATCAGGCCTGGGATTGATTCTGCTTTCTTCTGCCATACCCCATTAATGGATGAATCCCATGTGTGCGTTTGAAGTTTCCAGGCTAGTGTGTTTTCATATCCGCAAAATAAAGGGAGTGGGTGACTTTGGGAGCCTGAACCTAGGGAAGACTGGCCATTCCTGAAAACTTGACTCTGGGTAGATGTAGAGCTTTGAATGGAATGGTCCACATGTCCTGGCATTATAGATCCTGGAATACTTAACTACCTGAGGCCAGAGGCCATGGAAGCCAAAAGAGTCATCTGCTTGCCCCCTCCCTATTCCTACACAGATATACACTGTGTTTGCAGAAGGGACTGGTCATTCTGGCAACTCGCTGGCATTCCCTAGGGTTTCCTGCCAGTGTCTATAATCCCTGGCCAGGACATAGAAGCTGTGATTTGGTGCAAGCCATGGTGTGGGAGACATGGAGGGAGGGAGTCTCTCCTTATGGCATGCCAAGCAGATGGTCTTCTGCTTGGTATATGGGGGGGGTCATACCCAGTTGGAGCAGCTTTAGGCCACACACTATGGGTCATCCCTCATGCCTTTGTTTCTTTGAGACAGAGTTTCTCTATAGCCATGAATGTCTTTGAACTCACACTGTAGATTAGGCTGGCCTCGAACTCAGAGATCTACCTGCTTTTGTCTCCTACCCAATGCCTTTGTAAACATACATTCAAAACTAGAAACAAGCCAAGTGTGGTAGCACAGGCCTTGGGAGGCAGAGGCAGGCAGATCTCTCTGAGTTTGAGGCCAGCCTGTTCTATAGAAGGAGTTTCAATTCAACCAGAGCTATATAGTGAGATACTGCCTCAAAAAACATCAACCACAAAAACCCCACGGCCTAGAAACAAACTTTCCACAGCTGTCAAATCTGATCTGGGCACACTGGCAAGTGATATCCTGACCAGAAGGCTAAAAACAGCTCCGAGGGAAGCAGTGAGCTTTGCACCTGCACGGGCCTGTGCAATGTCCAGATGGAGGTCCAGGGGCTCAGGGCCCCATAGCCAGAGGGAGTTCCAGGAGCCTCTGGAATACAAAAAGCTCTTTTGTCTTGCACACTTTTGGAGATGGGGGGTCAGTACCCACCAGAGATAGTCTGTGCAGCTAAGCTCCTTTCCAGGAGATGTGATCCACCCCTCTTCCTCCTCAGGCCTCAACAACACACTGAGCATGAGTCCTCCAAACGTCACCCTGGGGAGCCAATGAGTTTATTAGTAGGGGTGAGGGGCTATTGGAACGTGGGCGCCTACCCAAAAGCCACACTGGAAAATCTAGCCAGCAGAGATGCAGGCTTTCCCCATAGTCTTTCCCGGCCTATTTACTTGAGCCTTCCCCAAGACCACCCGTAATTGGAGCAGAGTTATATACAACAGGCGGCAGAGAGCCAAGGGTACATAGGTGAGCGTCCTGTGACCCTCCAGCCCCTCTGTGTGGGGGTCACCAAGCCCAGCTGAGATGGTCTTTAGTGGGCACAGCTGAACTCCTCGTGGCGCACACTTCTTGGGCTTGGAGTTCTCGTACAACAATAGTTTCCAAAACAGCTTCAGCCACTTCGTGTTTCTCTCATTCCTGTTTCCCATTGAAACTGAGCTGAGTTTCCACCTCTCCACAAGCCTGAGGCATCCATGCCTCCCAGTGAGGACTACCCTATCCTCCACAGCTCACCAAATGGCTCCATGCAAGGCAGCCCGACAGACTTGTTGGAGCTGCTGGCCTTTCTTCTAACCCCTCTGGGAGGTGACGGGTGGAGCCTTAAGGAGCATCTAAGCTAACTCCGTATGTCTTGGTTTCTTTTCGGTTGCTGTGATACAATACTCTGATAAAAGCTCCTGGGGAGTATCTTAGCTCACAGTTCCTTCAGCTACACAGGGGCAGGGCAGCTGGCTGGTCATGTTGAGTCCATAGTCAAGAAGTAAAAGCAGGGCCTGGAGAGCTGACACAGTGATTAAGAGCACTGGCTGCTCTTGTAGAGGACCCAGGTTCAATTCCCAGCGCCCCTACGGTGGCTCACAACCATCTGTAACTCGTTTCATGGGATGTCTATCCTCTTCTGGCCTCAACCAGCACTGCACACACAACACAAACACCTGCACACATGAAATAAAAAGAAATCTTAAAGAAGCAGAGAGCTTGTGCCCAGCTCCCACTTCCTTTGAACTCAGACTAGGGTCTACCCTGGAGTAGGCGTTTCCACCTCAGTTTACTCAAATCCCTCACCGGCATGCCCACAAGCCAACCTAATCTACACAGTCCCTTGTCGAGACTTCCAGGCGATACCATATTTTGTCACATCAACAACTGACACCAACCATGACATCCCTCCCTATCAGATGATTGAGGTCAAGAGAGGCTGTGCAGCTTTGGCTGGAGGTAGAACCAGGATGTCCTGACTCCAGTGCAGTGCTCTGCCCTGAACAGCCGGCAGGACTCAGTTCATGGGGATGAGGAGGCACGTGCTGAGGGCTGGCTGAAGGTCCCTCCCTCCCTCTCCCTTCACTGTCACACCTGGAGCCCCCCTGGGATTCCTCCCATTAAGGGTGTCAGCTCTGGGAAGGCAGGATGCTGTTTCCCCTTATCCCATTGGCCATTTCCATGAGCCGGTCCCTCTCAGGATTCTGAAAACCCCAGAAGAAATGAGAGTTAGTGCCAACCAGGAGATGCTCACGCTTGGGTGTGGTTTGAGCTGGGAGCTTGGTCTTCAGTGTTATGGAGAGATTGGAACTTTAGGAGGAGGAGTCTAGGAAAGGTCCTGAGGTCACTAGGGCAGTGCTCTAGGAAGTGCTGCCCCAGACAGTGGGTCCTGTTGGTATAGTGATTTTTCCCTCTTGTCCAGCTACCACGGGGTCCTCCCAACCATGGGACACACAGTCACACATGCTTGGACTTTCAGCCTCCCAAACTGTAGTTAGAGTAACTTTCTTGCTTTCGTTTGGTTTTGGGTTTGAGACGGGGTCTCACTGTGTAGATTTGACTCGTTTAGAACTCTCTATGTAGACCAGGCTGGCCTCAAACTCACAGAGATCTGCCTGCCTTTGCCCCTCGAGTGCTGGAATTAAAGGCGTGCTCCACCACCGCCTGACTAACTTCTTGCCTTTGTGGAATTAGACTACCTAGTTTTATTTCATCATGTCAGTGGAGGTGAGCCTTGCACTTGAGTCCTCCCGAGGTCAGGCTGCAGGACCTTGCACTCCCACATCCCAAGGGAGTCAGTTTCAGGCATCTCTCACTAAGTGCTCGGCTCCTGGCCAGCCCCTGAGAGTCACCTCCCTGTAAACAGTGCAGGACCCCAGAATCTCAGTCTTTGGGTCTCTTGTTTCTTCACCTCCTACCCAGATGTGCATCAGACTCTCACATCCTCCCCTCTGGGCAGCAGAGGAGGTTAGACCAATAAATACCTGGAGAGTAGGGGAGGGTTAGCTGGAAGCAGTCTGCCACATCTTGCATGTCTAGTATGAGTCTGGCTCTCGCAACCCACAGCCCCACTGCCCGTGTTCCGCCTTCAGTGCTCAGGCGAGCTGGTATAGGGGGAGCCAGGCACTTAGCCTCATTCATAGCAGTCTGGGTGCAGGAGCCCTGACTCGCTCGCTGCCTTGTCTCTTCCCACAAGGCACCTGGATGGTCTCTCCCAGTGTTTCTCTCTGTTGGTGACCCCTGAGGAACACACGCACTCCTCTGGCCCTGCGAGGTGAACTGTCCCCATACTCCATCCCTCACTCTGGTGGTCCCTACAGCCCTGGCTCCTGGAAACACTGCCCACAGGGGCAGGATGCTCTGCCTTGGCAGAGCCAGCCAGTCCCTGAAGTGCCACCAACCCCATCCACACTCACCACCTGCGCCTGTTAGCTTTGTTTTGTTTTGCCAATTTGATTCATAACATCCTTCTGGGAAGAGAGAACCTCCGCTGAGAAAATGCCTTCATTAGACTGGCCTGCAGATATGTCTATAGGGCATTTTCTTTTCTTTCTTTCTTCTTTTATATTTCTTTTTTTTTTTTTGTTTGCTTTTTCGAGACAGAATTTCTCCATATGATCCTGGCTTGTCCTGGAACTTGCTCTGAAGTCTGGCCTCGAACTCATAAAGATCCTCCTGCCTCTGCCTCCTGGGTGCAGGAATTAAAGTGT